TAAGGGTTTACCGTTTCTTCCTCTATCTCCGAGGGGTACGCTATTAAATAATACAAAGCAGCTCGGTCTTATCGCAAGGCATCATTGCAGCATGTTGTCGGGTGTGCGTGAGAGTACGAGTCAGACGGGTGGTGGATTATTGGCTTAGTGTTTTGGCCAGGTTAAAGTGAAACAGCCCTGAAAGGTTCTTAGTGGAGATTACCCCTGGTACTAAAAATAGTCATTTCCACCCAATACACACACCAACGCACAAAACAGAAAGCAATGAAAGTGTTATGTCTAGCCAGAAAAGGCCACTATCTGATCTTTGTATAGGGTGTCTCAGTTACACAAAGACACACATGCACATGTGCACATCAGTGGCTCCAGTATGACAGAGACGGGTATCCACTGAGGGCAGGGGATCAGCTGGGGCAGGAACACCACACCATGCCTCAATCAGCAGCAGCAGCCCACTGGGGATGTGGTTTGAGTGTGTGAGTGTGTGTGTGTGTGTGACAGAGAGAGGGAAAAAGCTAGACAAGCAGCCAAGCAGCCACCACCAGACCAAAAGATGCTCCCTTGCTCTTTTTCCAAACATTCCCTAAGGAGACTTTTTTTGGCCCACCCCCTGCTCCCTTTCTCCATCCAGTCTTCCTTTCCAGAAGCGACTGTTAGAGGCCAGAATATATTTGTTTAGCCACTGTAGCTTCAACTTCCCATCAGCCAGCAGCAAATGCTTTGCCTTGAGATGGAAAAAGACAGAGGGAGGAAGGGATGGCAGACAGCAGAACCCGCAGTGTTGTGGGGCGGCGGTTTGAGAGCTCTTGTTGTGGAGTGGGTCTGACAGACGCTCCAAGATGTTACAGGCCTGGGTAGCCTAAGTCTGCATTGCTCTGCTCTACATCTGTACCTACTTGCCTGTGCTCCTTCTCATTTGTGTATCTTGAAACAGCAAAGCCACGGTTCTGAAAGCACCGTTTGCCTTCAGTTCGACAGTGATGAAGGATTTCTTCCATCAGACAGTGCAAATAATGTATCAGCCCAGTAAAAATCGAAGGCAACTTGAGATGAGGAAAGTATGATGTATTCTAATAAGAGTCACTTCAGAAATCATATTATATAGTGGAATATGATAATTCATACACCCTTTGCTGGAGTGGTGAACTCGTGTGGGCGGTGTACTCTCAAATGTCAGCATACATTTGCAAAATAAACGCAACCAGCATTTAGCAGGGAGTAGAAACAGAGACAATAAGGGTCTGTCTGTGTGTATTTTTGTGTATGTGGGTGTGTCAATTCCTCACAGAGGGCGTACGACTTTGTCGGCAGTCCTGTGTCAGCTCATAGAGCGCCTATCGCGAGTCTGTGAGCTGATCTATTCTTACACCTGTCTGCAGGGAAACAAAGGGCTACTTAAGGAAAACATTTTTATCACAACATGTTTTATCACAACCAACTAAAGATGACCCAGTCAATTCAAACTGCCTTTACTTAAGACTAAGCACCTGAGCATCTGTCTGAAAACAAGCAAGACAAAGCACCATAATGCCTTTCAAAGTCACCACATCATCTGAATAATACAGTATAAAGAGTTTACATGTGCTACAGAACAACCCTATACAATATCACAAGCTCCTTTCCATTAAACTGATGGCACCTGAATGTGTTGTCTTTATGTCTGAATGAGCACCCTGGTCACTTTTCTGTGAAAGAAGCAAGAGCAATATTACCTGGTAATATTGATGTTTCGACATATCACAAGTCTGAACTGCATGCATCCGCATTAATGGATAAAGATGCAAAAGACTGTGACAATCTATAATACAAATACCACATACACAAATAGAAATAAGATACAAATACCACATACACACTGCAGCTCTTTCTGTCATGGCCATATGTATGTCTGAGCCATGAGGAACATCAATGTAAAAGTGACCTAGGTCTGAACGGCTGACAGACGGTTAAAGCCAGCAATGTTACATACTCCATGTCTGAAAAGGGCTAGAGTAATGCTTTAAGCCTTGGCATCTTCTTTTACAAACTGCAAAGCCCACAACCTTCTACTTCCAATCCACAGGCTTTGATCTGGGCTGGCACAAGGCCAAGCATCTCCTGCTCTATACGTCTGTGGCTTTCACTACCCATCTGTCCCCATGTTTGTCTGTCACGTCATGTGCTCAGCCGTTCTGTCTGTTTCAGCACCTACCCTTTGTTTCACGTTTCTGGATCTGCCCTTGTCCCTTTGTCCCACCTGTCCATCTCTCAGCACTGCATCACACAACAGGACGGATACAGCAGCGATAACATGTCAGGGGGGAAACTCTCTTGCATAATCACATAGACATCCAACCTTCAATAACTGTAAATACCTTCATCTGTCATTCATGTGATGTGGCCACGCCACGGGCCACTGCGACCGCCACAGGGGCGTCCACATCAGAATGCGAAAAAGCCAGAACCAAAGAGACACGTTTCCATTAATCAAGCTTGACATGAAATCTGAGAGGACACCTGCAGGCAGACATTGGGTCATGCTTCTATGCTGTTGTCTTTGGCAGTACATTGGGAACTTACTAGAGTAACCACCCCTTAACAACTGCAGCCCGAAATAGACTGTGCACTTTCACGGGCGGCCTGTTTTGAAGAAGTGTCAAACACACTGTGCCAGAAGCAATAGCTGTTATGTGTGTGGGTGTGTGTGTGTGTTATAAGAGAAGGGGCGTGTGGTGTATCATTCTCCACATTTCATATCAGGGACAGTTGGGACAGTGGCAGGGAATGGAGCAAATGGCCAGCCAGGGGACAGCTTGTGATCTAACACCTTGTGCTGCTTACAAAACAGAACACACAAACAGAGAGAAACATGCACTTATACACAGACACATGGTGTATACAAGGGGTCAGCAAGTGCCTTTACCCCCTTAACGATTAAATATGACTTTCTGTGATATGACAGTAATATTTGTGGTCCCAACTGTTGGATAACCAAGTCAACCCTTGTTGACTTGTTGCTACTGCGTGCCACATGGAAAGCCGTTCTGTCCGAGCTGCAAATCATTTCAGCAGCTAAACTACTTGAACTAATGAAAGCTGGTTCAAACTTCCACAGAGCATGTTGTTTGATAAAGACATTTAAAAGATGGGTCTCAGCAGGACAGCTGCACCCAGCTGCTACACGCTACTCAGGGCAGCATTGATAATCTGCTACCTGCTTTTTCTATTCTTCTGTTCCTCTCTTGTGTATGTATACACAAGAGAGGAACAGAAGATCCATCCATCCATTATCTATACTGCTTAACCTGAAGAGGCGGGGTCCACCCTGGGCAGGTCGCCAGGCTATCACAGGGCTGACACTCAGAGACAACCACATACACTCACTCCTGCTAGTCTTCAACTTTTGATTGTGTGCTTCACTGCCCCATTCAGAGGCCAATCGGGGGGCACAGGAAGTACAGCTGCAGCCCCAGCCTTCTGATCCTTGCCGAGCAGCAAACTTTCCCCTGTCAGATTAAGTAGGATTAGCTGTGCCCTGCTGTATCATGAACTGAGCACTTCATATGGTGACTAGAAACTTTCCAAAGAAGGGAAATGTATTACTTTTCACTGCTTAGGCAGAAGCCTTTCCGTGTCCTCAGTATAATACAATAGCTGCTGACTTAATGAGCGTGTGAAAACATCACCCGCTTAAATCCAATGTATAGCATTCATGTAGATGCCAGCGCACAGTGGTGTGCAGGAGCATGAGCAGATACAAGCATGCAAATCTCATACAGATTCTTGCTCAAAGCTAGTTCCCTGATCAGGGTCCTCAGTGGGTGCTAAGTTCCATTGTGTTTTAAAATGACACACATAAGCACATGCATACACTTTGACTGGTATTTTTATCCACCCCCAGAGCCACTCTGCGCCTACAAACCATATCACTCTGAGACGACAGAGGAGCCGCAGTCACACCAGCTAGTACTTAAGACCACCCTTATTGTGTGTGTGTGTGTGTGTGTGTGTGTGTGTGTGTGTGTGTGTGTTGGCGTGGTCCACAGAGGTAGAATGTGTGGTGATATAAAGAGACTCTGAAAAAGGTGGCAGCAGTGGTGTGGAGGTTAAATGTGGAAAGAATTTAGCCTGTTATCAACTGATGCCTGCAAGACCACTGAGGAGGCGCACACACACACACACACATAGCAAAGACCCTGAAAACGTGACTACATGACAGGGCCATAGGCACACACTCGCTGCCTTCACAGACAGGGTTTTTCCTCCTGAGGCGAGGCTAAAGCATCCAATCTCAGTCTTTCTTGTCTATCTCTGTAACTGATAAAGGCTTATAATGAACTGGGGACCTGAAATCAGTCCCAAGACCGACGGCTTTATGGCCATGGCCAGATCATCACCCTCTGGACTTCGTTTGTCACTGGGTGAGAGCAGAAAGAGAGAGTCAGACGGAAAGAGAGGGAAGGGAGGAAACAGAGAAAGGGGAGAGAGTGGCGCAAAACTAAGATTACAGTTTTACAGTCCAACCTTTGAGAAGTGTTTTGCAATACAGTTGCTGTGTCCAGAGTTTATTACCAGAGCATTCTTTCAGATGTGTGCCGCATTACTGACTGTGCTGAAATAAATGCTCAGAGTTTTGATAAGGAAGCCTACTGTCGCAGCCAGGAGCCAAACAAGTGGACAAAGGTCTTCCTGGACTTATCGGTCTTCATGTTATCTCCTCTTTTGAACTTTGGAGCAATGCAAACACATGTTTGTAAACTGGTAACAATAGTACATTTTGTTTGGCTCCCATTCAGGAATGTGATAGCGTATTGTGTTTGCTAAGGCATGATATTATTCCAGCTCACTCCTGAGCCTTGTGAGAGCATATAGGGAAATCACTGTGGATGCAAAGATGTTCCATAGCAACTTTCCCCATTATAAATGATCAAGTGCAATGAGAAGATACTGACAAAGATATTGATAAAGAAATGTGTAGATGCTGTGATTAAAAAAAATAATCCACTGCAAGGTTTTCTTACCTCAAAAAGATTGGATCCATCATTGCCATACTGAGTGGAAATGATCTCAGATTGGTCACTGTACCATTTGAGTCCACCCAGGAAGCTGTCTGCATCTAAGTCACTGACATCCAGCTCTGAGAGGTCAAGTTCAGGGAGGTCTGGGCAGAGGGGCTGGTCTTCACCAACCAAGGCAGCACACTGGAGACAAAGAAAACAAAGATGGTCAGACACAAATCACATCTCTTTCATATGCAAATCAGACACAGAATTCATCGTGCCAAGCTTGAAAACAATGGGGGAATCAAAATCTGGACAGCCATCAAAAGTCTTCTAAAATGGAAATGCTTACATGTGTATAACACACAGACAGTGAAGACACTGAAGCCTCTCAACTCAAATTCCTCCATTCAGTCATTCTGAATCTGCCTGCCATTATCATTAAGTGACATACTTTATTATTTCTCTTACTATTACTCTGTTGATTATTAACTGAACAGTTTGGCCACACTCTGCTTCTGTTCACCCTGAACACTTTGTCCTCCCACCTTCACTCTCTGAGCACTGTGATTGGTGACTACTCAATGTTGTCTGTTGAAACTCTTGGCTAGACTGCATTAAAGTGGCTGGCCATTATGTACTATATGGAGCAGCTGCTCCTGATTCCTCCCCACCCCAACCAGCTCTGTTCTGGCTGAAAGTGAGGGACTGGAAATCAAACAAGGACCTGAAAAGTTTATGTGATCACAGTGTTTTAGTTAAAGGGAGAAAGTGGGCAACAAGTTTGCACAGTTAAATATACTGATAACTGCCAAATGTGACACCCCAATTTCTCGATGTTACCTGTTATTTTGTTGAGAAAATTCTACTCAGCACTATGAATAATGTGCTAATTTCAGTATACAACCCCCGCCATGGCAGAAAACCAGCCCCTGAAACTAGCAACAGGCCGGCAGACCTTTCTCCGTGCACCACACAAGGTGGGCGAACCCTGAGCTCTAGTCGGGATCATTAAAAGGCAACACCGCGCCAGAATCGATGCATGTTTATACTGTGACAGTGCACATGCATAATCCAAGTCCGAAAAAGCAGCTAATGGCTCCTGTCTAATAGTGTACACAACACGTCAGCCGACGTATGAACGCTACTGCATGGCCTTAAGACAGATATAAGATAGATATCCTCGCACCAAGCCGGGGGTATTTGGCCCGCAGACCGAGGAACGAGAGTCAGGTTCGGCTAAAGCTGGGAGACAGATGCTGGGCCAAGTAGGGAAAACGGCCCAGACACCGGTGTCACAATTCATCTGTCCTCGGAAACGCACCAACAGGAACACACGATGACTTCCACGAGACAAATCTGTTATGTTGCAATCGCAACAGCGAAGGGAACGGATTCACTGCGTCTCCGGCTTCCCCCCGAGATGACCCACTCTGACAAGGCATGAAAAAACGAAAACAAAGCTTTAGGGTATGCAGAGGCTGGACGTCTTATGCACAATTATCTTACGGACTTCTTGGTGAACTAAGAAAATAGCCGCCAGACATACAATCAGAGTGCACCACAGCAATCCAGTGATTTACGCACGCACCGCACATAAAGCACCTGCTAGGAGAAGAATATCAGAGGAAGGAGCATGGTCCTGGATGACAGTTCTTTTATCCAAATAGCGGTAATTAAATGTATTAAGCCCGTAAATCTCGATGCATACATTTTCTCAGAAAACGTCTACATTTGTTAGATTGACCCTGGCAGATAACGACACGCTATCGCAGTGAAGGTAATGTCTTCTTAAGTCTGTCTGGCTAAAGTCGGTGATAACAGTGCAAAGCAGTGTATCTGAAATTGGTCGAAAATACCAGATTGCTACTTTTGTTCTAATAAAGCCAGTTTTCTTTAGTCATATTCTCATCACGCAACGCAGATAATCACAACCACGCAGCCAGACTGCAGTCACATCTTGTAGTTACTGAGGAATCCTCTGAAGCATCACCGAGTTCCTGTATGCAAACAAGTACCCAGGTAAAGCCAGGTAGCTCTACACGTCCATAATTAGCCGGAGGGACTCGGTAAATTAGAAAAATAGGACGAATAAGTATCCTTTTGATGTGCTTTATTATATATATATGCACTTTAATCGTAACAACAAGGAAAAGGCCAGATTAATATAACACCATCAAGTCTGACTGGATGCGAGGTTACTCTCCAACCAGTGCATCGCTCCTTCGGCCAGTATGTTAGGACACAGACGTGGCCGGTACCTTTAGTATTATGATGCTCCTGCGCAATGCCAGATAGCGGTCCTACCACTGTGGCCAACCTTTGCTCTCTTGCCTTTAACAGTACCACAGTGTAGGATATGCTATTCCGACAGCGCACATCAAAGGGATTGTTTTCGTCATTGGATTCCATGCGTCAGCCAAATACCTGACTGTGAGACAATTCAGTCATTTCGGCATGAAAACCTTCTCGGCACCGGAGCGCGTACAGTCCGCAGCTCGAGAGATATCCGCCAGCCTGCAAGAGCTCATTCCGAGTGAACAGAGATCCTATGAGGAAAGCAATGGTCCCGAGCCTGTGCACACATTACAACAACTACATCTTTATCTGAGGCGAAAAGAGAGATTCCGCACATTCCCTCCACTTGTCATATATCTCCGTGTTGTATATCCCCCGCATCCTCAACTGCGTCCAGACGCGCACTACACCGCCAGCGCCGGGAGCAGAACAGAAGAGAGCGTAGACTTAAGAGGAAATCACTGCCTCACATAGCCAGTGTTGTCCAGCGATCCGGGTGGCAAAAAAGAGAGTCCAGGGGGTTAGAAAGATGGAAGAAGTCGGATGTTAAGATGCGCTCACCTCTAGTTCTCTCCACACCGAGTCCTGGTTACACCTGTCCCACGCCATCCAGCCACTGAATGACGGTCCGGAAAAAAGAAAAAGAAAAAAAAAGAAAAGAAAAAAGAAAAAAAAGAAAGAAATCAAGTAAAAAAGAAATCCACACACGCTTCCCACTCGCTCTCACACAGGCAACTGCTGCCCCTCGCCGAGAATGAACCGAGGGCACCTGTCTTACTACTGCTTTCCATCACATGACAAAGCTATTAAAAGTAGGCAAGGGAATGACTCCGCGTTCACACTACTCACCAGTGACGCGCAGTGAGCAGGCGGGGTCTGGCTGCGCACATAGTAAAGCCCTGTCCATGCACTGCAAAATATCAGATCATCGTAGATGTGTGTACACACGAAATGATCAAAAACAAGCAGAGATAAGCGTCGGTGGTGGAATTTCAATAAAAAAATATATCCCAGAATTAATTCCTCTTACTTAGCTAAAATAGTTTCAAGATAAAAAAATCTTAAAGAACCTGGATTTGACCTCGGACAAAAGCTCTTGATCTCAGTTTTGTTGAAAAAAAGCATTAGGAAACTAAATAAACGGATTCGTGGCTTGTTTACCGTGTGGAAGTCAATGTGGTTTTTAATCATTAAACTAGAAAACCAGCAGGCATATACAGAACGAGGTTCTGTTAGGTTAAGCTCTCTCTAATCATTTGTTCTAAAGCTACTGGCATCCCGTGTTTTTGCAGCACCTCCGCTGAGTTTAGTGAACTGTCGCCTCTGATTTCTTCAAGTTCCCCCCAAAAGAACAGTAAAAACGAACACACAGACAGCATAATGGAGAAAATAATGGCATGGTGCCAGGATATCTTTTCTGGAGAAGTGCCAATCATCGTGGATATGAAAAGCTCCAGCAAAAACTAGAAGCAAATCCTCTGGTACCCGGGAAATTAATTGACCAGGGAGGTGTTAACAGTGGATCACATTTAGACCACATTCAAAGCTTCAGTTGAGCTTTTCTCCATACTTCCAATACAGTCATTTATGTTGAATTAAATCATCGTTCATTCATAAGACACGTACTTTCCACTGTTTGTGCCATTCCTGCATTAACTCCAGACAGACTGTAACTTAAAGCGCCTGTGTTTGATGTGTAGAGTATCAAATAAGGGAACTTAGTCCTTTGCAAAGTATTTCTTTGTCCATTCAGAGGCAGTCAAAAGGACAGGTGGCAGTATCAACCGTGTACACAGTGTCAGCAGGACCTGTATAGGCAACACTGCCTCAGAAAATAAAAACAAAGGCTTTGTGGACATGTCAAACAAAGTGGTTTTTCTGCTGGGTGTAGGCTGACCGGAAGCCCATGGAAATTATTATGAGTTATTGTCACCTAGGGATTTTCTTAGTAAGTTGCTGAATTGTGTCATTTTATGCTGCTGCATGAGCTTTTTAACAAAAGGTATTTGTAAAAATGATTATTACATTATTTTCAGGAAAAACAACTGAACATCTGACAAAACATTTCTGCAAGAGGAAACTCAATCCATGGAATATACTAAACCCAATTCAATTTCCAGCCTTGTAAGCCCATTAACTCCACCTGAGCATGCAAGGAGCAATTGTCTCCCTAAATTAGTGAACCACATAGACTAAGTCTCATTAAACACAAAATTGCACAGAAACCTGTGAAAAGGTTCTGGGACTGGAAATGTAAATGTACAGATTGTTCTACGTTTGCGCCAGTGTACGCCCTGCGCGTGCAATAAGATATTATGTGCATGTGCGAGTATCTGAGAGCATTTGTACCACAAAATCTATACATCTGCCTCTCTGTGTGTGCCCAGAGATGCTACCCAGAAGTTACAGTGAAACCTAATCTGAGCAGGTGGTGTGTGCAGTGACCTCACAGAGCCCAGATGGACCACTACCACATAGACCATAATATAGGGGCAGCATGGGAGTGACATGGAGCTTGACGGTAGCTGGCTCTGTGTCTGCAGCAGAAATAAAAGGCTCGCACAACAGCGATTTAACTCATTAGCCCCCGCATGGTGTTTACGTGTCCAACAGATTGCAGGGGTGGAAAGTAACTGGGTACATTTACTAAAGTACTGTGCTTCAGGACAGTTTACTTGAATATTACTTCATACTTAATCGTTCACTACATTTAATTTCAAAGAATGCACCTTTACTCCACTACACTTAGTTTAGTTACTAGTTAGGTACTAGTTTTTGATCCTGGGTGGAAAATGCACAACACTCCAGGCAGTAAAGTATTTTAAATGATAATTATTGGATTCAAAACAGCATTATAAGGGTAGTTGAAATGAATTTCATACTATGTACAAGAGTTAAGTGATGTAAATAATAATGCATCTGTATTTTAACTTTTGGTACTTCAAGTATTTTTGATTCAAACACTTTGTGCTTTTACTTAAATAACATATTGAATGCAGGACTTTGACTTTTACACTGCAGTATTGCTACTTTTACTTAAGTAAAGAATAAAGTGCTTCCACCACTGGGTAGCAGCTGCTCAGACAGATTCCTCACAACTTGAATAAAAGCACCAAAATGAACAGGGGCTTGCCAACAATAAGGAAAAAGAAAGAAAAGGGAGGCATTTACTGGTAAATGATCTTCTGAAGCGATGCACAAAGCCTTATCTGATTGTACTCTTCATGCCAATTAAAACAACGGAAAGTAAGTACAGATATAATGTCACAATTTCCTTTCTTCAACGGCCTTTGATCCTTTTTTTTTTTTTTTTACTTACTAGAGGCTGGATATTTATGTGTGCAGTGGTAGGGATCTGAAGATATGGGAATTATTTCCAAAGGAAAAGGTTCTACAGGTAATCTTTGAAATGCCACAGCCTTTGTTACAGTTGAAGAGAGCTGATAATAAATGGGTAAGTATGGGCAGACTGTCACAGGCTGGCCCAAACAAGAAATAGGTAATGTTTAGTGGCCCACAGCAGAACACTGCCAGCCATGGGGTCAGCATCACTACATGTTTGGTCACTCTGTTCTCAAGAGTGGCCTTGTGCCTTGTTTTCACAACGCCCTTGCATTTAGCTGCTCTAATAGAGATCACGTCTCATGAGGACTCAATCTATAGGACTGAGTGTGAGAAGTTGTTTGCACCCGTTTGATGCATGGCGTCTTGTCACATCATGGACTCACTCCCTGCAAAGCAATAACCTTGCAGACAAACTGTATATTTCAACAGGAATCATTACTACACAAAATAATTAAAATGGATTGCTGGTTAACTGCTAAATGGTTCACAGTAAAAAAAATAAAAAAAATAATGCAGTGTGACAAGCTTTCTACGAAGAGCGTGCCCTGTTCCACGTGCCAGCAAACTGCTAGCGGACGTACTTGAATTGGGGTGGTGCTGCTGGCAGTTCACAGAAAGTAAAGGGTCTTAATGATTAAACAATTTCTCCCAAGGGGTCAGCTGACAAGTGGAGCTCTCAAAGGAAAAACGGGGCTAATCCACAGATAATTATCTCTGTTTGAATATTCAACATGGCTTGACTCATGGTACAGAGTCTGCCACTTGCATTTCTGGTTTTAGTTTGAACCTGATATTAACATTTCTGTTGAGGAGCTGAATTGATATTGATGCTGTAGTAGAAATTGTAGTTACATGTTTAATTCTAATAGTTTAGTTTTGTTTTTCTTCCCTTTTCAATAAACTGTGCCACCGGCCCTCTGAGAGAGTACTGATCCACCGTGTGGGGCCATGATTCATATTACTTTGTTGCATGTCATTGCTCCCAACAGAATTTTTCCTAGCATCTGGCCATTTTAATACGCAGCGGCTGGATTCATAAGAATTAATTGAGGGCAGAGGTAAAACAGACCGCTACATCTACTCATGTATCGTTTCCGCGTCAGTCTCCTGCTTGTCATTTGATGTGCTCTGAGATCATTGGTGCATGGGTCATTTTTCAACTTGAAAAGTCACACTGCTTTATCTTTATTGGGGGGCAGTGGAGGAAGTGGTCACATTTCACAAAAGTCAAATACTCTACAATAACACAGGATGTAATGCTATACAGAACTGGCTACAGGAAATGTAAAGGGATACTCAGTGCAAACATGAGGTTCTAATGTGGTCTCCAATGATCACGCTGCTTTAAAAGTACTCCTACGGCACAATGCAACTACTGCACATCTTTGAAATATTTAACATTGGATTTCTGAATTATTCCTCAACTATTTCTTCTCAGTGCAATATAAAGATCTCTTACAAGGCCCACACATTTACTTGGCTTCCATAGGCTTTTACCTGGTGCATTCTATGCAACACAGTAACGTGTGACAACACAAAATAAGCCACCGCTTGCCTTTGACATACAGTATATGCTAGTGCATTCTCCCCTTGTAAACATTTTACCTCTCTTTATAGTGCATGTATGTGTGCAATCCTTCCCATCAATGAACTCCATCGTGTCATTCAGCCTCTCTCTGGATGGCAGCTACTTTGCTCACGGAGAGTCCAGCCCACATTATTAGGGTAAATGGCATGAGGCGGCTAGGGCCAGTTAGCCATGGCTGAGCCTTGGAACAGAAAATGGCATCAGTCCCAAGCAGGGGCTGGTAAACACAAAAGGTAGCCTGGGGAGCGACACAGGGCGGTTCCAGTCATCCTTTTCCCTACTCAACACTGTTTTGCAGGAGCTGAGGAAAAGCAGCAGCCTTTCCCATCCCCCTCCTCCCCACCTGCCGCATGGTCATATGGTGAAGCGAGCCCTCTGTGGTAGGGCTGTTATTGGGCTTGTTTAAAATCACTAGCAAGTAATACAAGATACATGTGGAAAGCGGAGGCAGAAGGAGGGTGAGCTGTGAGTGCAGGCCTGGTGTGTAATGCATCTTGGTGGAGAACCGTGTTAAACTAGCGCTCTGGGCAGGGACGTGTGAGGCACTGTGTTTTGCTTGGGTATAGCACTCACAAGGAATATTAAAATTTATGAACCATAAGGGTTTGGGTTGCAAACACATACATAAACAAGACATGCACAGTCCTTGTGCTTAAAATGCTACAGACCCAAACTTTGAAATTGCTGTAAAATTCTAACAGATGCCCAGGAAATGACATGCACGTGTGTGGAGGAGATTTCTACTGAAAGGGCACACAAAACTAGTACTTGTTGTCATGTTGAATATCTAGTAACACATGTTTTGGAAGCCATGGTCTGATGTTTGCAGCAGGTTATATACAAGCATCACATGAATGATCTCTTCCCAACTATGCTTCTGCTTAGTGCTGTAGATCATGTTTGGAATACAACAAAGTTCATGTTTGGACAAAAACAAATCTAAACAGTAGGGAAGTCCTGATCCAGTCTTTATGTCCCCGATACTGATTCACTTACCCTATCTGCCAATACCAATTTTGAGCTGATACAGATATTTACCTGCAGTAAATGTTCATTAAATATCTGACATATTGA